TTCTTTAACAGGGTCTGTTATTCATGTTTGTACTTAGGAATTCTACAAGGGTAGAACTCAAACATTTTATTACAGTAGATGACTAACTTGAATATTCTGTCTTCCCACTTATAGTAACAAACATCAGTTGAACCTAATATTCTTGCTCAGATAACTAACAAAAAAAGGATTTATAAAGAAGACAGTAACAGATATCTGTAGGTAAGGATGTAGATAATTCTTGAAGAACCACTAAAGTAAATCTATGAAACATTACATCATCAGACCTGTATTTCATCAAAGCACAGAAGGCTAGCTCCTGCATGATTTCCATGGGCTTCAGTGAGAAACTTATCAGCTACAGCAGGAAGGATGTTTTTCATCTGCACCTCTTGCTTATATCTTTCTTCTGCAGCTAACCACTCTTTAATTTTTGTATCAAAGGGAAGATTAGTAATCCAACTAGAAATAGTGGACTGCAAACTTTCATTCTTAACTTGATCCTTCCATATCTTATGCATGTGCTCATTTATTAACAGCATAGCCTGTCGAGAAAAGACATTTTTAAAGAGCAATAAAAAAATAATTATGGAAACAAAAATGAAAATCCGCAAAAATTAAGGTTTGAAGCAAGTTAAGCCCAAACCAACTTATATTGTGTATGTGTGTGTGTGTGTCTTTATTTGTGTTCTGCATGCTTCCTGTTGGTCAACATTCCTCAAGCCAGATGAGGAGCAAGTACTTTTGATTTGCCAAAGCATTAGTTGGTACAGAGTGGTCTTAATATAAAACCTACTCCTCCATCTGTTAGTGTTGATATCTACACGTGATGGGTTTGTAGAGAAACATTATAGGTAAAGCAAATGTGGTGTCACTGACTACTGTGGCACGTTAAATATTTCCCTATTAGTTCTGTGATTCTATCCTCCTGTACCAACTTCATGATGTGCTAATTCTGAAAGTTTGATTCATTCTTCTTCTGCTTTTACAGAAGTAGTTATCAACTTTTTAACTACTGCCTTCTTGCACTACCTACCCAGAAAGTCTTGTTTACATCCATCAATCAGTTTTAAGCTTCTTACCAAGAAAAACAAGGATAGAGCAACGACTAGACCTACTACAGAACTTTCAATATGGAATCCATGAGAGTTTGTTATACCTTTGATAGGAAGCATCAAGCAAAAAGAAGCTATAATTAGAATAAATGCAATATATGCTCCATTTTAATCTCATTTGCCTTAAACTCTACAAGTCTTTTGTTTGTGGTTTATCATCTTATGGAATGCCTAGGGTTCTCTCACCAAATGCCTTACAGTCAAGAGAAAGACATGCCAGAAGTCAAAGAAGATATAGCAGGGCTTACATATGCCCATCCAACATTGACAAGGAGAAACCAAGAAGAAACAAGATATGATGAACCAAATAAAAGCTAGCAAAGTGGAGACTGGCAAATGAACAGAAAGTAATAAGAACTTGTAACTTAAATTTTTCCAAGTAGAATTGCATAACAGCTGCTTAGGAAAATAATTCACATAATAAAATTCAAAAGATGGCATAGTGAAATTACACCACGCTCTGTACCAGTATGCAGTCACCTCATGAAAGTGAAATCTTCTTCGGTGTTTTACAATTCCTTCAGTCGCACCATAAAACATATCCATAAGCATTGTCTTACCTAAATGATGCAAAAATTTCTTCAAATTGGTATGTGAAAAAGTAAAACCAAAACCAGAATAATATTAATAGAGAGAGATGCTGTGTATTAACATGCTATTCATGTTAGATTGCATGTCTACTTTATACATAAGTGAAATCATTGAATCCTTTTAGTGCCTTAATGTAGTAAAATACTAGAAATCTTAAGTGCAGAAATGTGCATTGGCAAGGAAGTGCAGATAATCAAGATGCAGGAACGAACCACTTCCAACGTTCCCATAAAGATACAATCCTCTGGGGGCTGGAGGAGCAGTGGGACGACGACCAACCAGTGAATCTAATTTCTTCTCTCGATTAAGATATGAGACCCATTTCCCTACTCCTGGCTCTACAATTTCATGTTTCTTCCTGAATGAAGACAAATATCACTAGCAGGGAAAAAATATATTTCTTTTGACTGATGAAGGGAGCAAAATACAGGAATTGGACCTCATGCTGAACTTTACAGAATTCGCAACTGGTTCAATGACAGGAAATCCTATTCAGATTTTTGTGAACCAACGTATAATTCTTTGAAATATCCAGTTTCAGTATTGCTACAAAATCAAGGGAAAATTGATAGCCTTACCGGGACATCCATCTTTGGAAAAGATTTCGCTGCTTGCTTATTGATGTCATACCACCCCCCTCTTGTTTGGTCTCAGCTTCCTGCATCAAAAGCCTGCGCCGTTCGTTTTCCCTCTTCTCCTCCCATTTGGTAAGCTTTTCCTATGAATATGAGGAATAACATAAGGCCAGGAACAGCGTTTCAGTATTATTTAACCACTATAAACTGTTGTGGCCTACATGGTACTCCTCCATATCTTTCTCATATTGCTCCATTCTCCCAAGCAGATTTTCCAGTTTAAAAGCAACCTCTTCCTGGTAAGGATCATGCTGCAGCTTCCCTTGCTTAACAAGACTCCTATACTGTGCAAGTGGCCCTGCAGGAGATCCATTGAAAAGATAATTTGAGTTCACAGCTAAACAACTTGGAAAATAAATGCAAAGGCACAGATAATCTAGTATAACCAATGTCTTGCACTTAACAAAATTATGCTCCAAAGGGATAAAAAATATACTGTATCACTGCATTCAGTATCTCTAAGCATTCTTGTAAGAAAAGATGGAAGCAACAATAAATATATACTTTTTGTCGGTAAATATATTCTGAAGTTTTGAGCATTGTGCAGACACAAGTACACAACAAGATAATGCACAATCTCTCAGCATATAATCAGAGCAAGAGGCAGGGGAAAAAATAATTGATCCGGTAGCTTTCTGGGTACCAACTTTGAGTATGAACTCTATCTTACTTTCTCCTCTTATGATATATTAGGTAAATCACCTAAGAAACAGACAATTTTACAGTTTAGAAAATCTAGTAAAGAACCTGAATGCTGCCAAAAATGGGGAGCAATTTGTCCAGTGATTTTAGTGTTCTCTATTGCAGGATCAAGTTGTAACACATCTAGATCTTCATAACCAACAATCCATTGGAGAACCACCAGCAAAAGCTGAACATGTGAGTAGAGGAATTAAATAATACTCTCCCTCCTCATGCGTGGAAGGTATATCATTGTAATAGGCCAAACATGTGGGACAAAAAATTAATAGGATATACAGATAAAGCCCTCAGTAGGTTGACGTAATTTTCCATTACAAAGTACAATATCCATTTATTAATGCATCATAGACCCTAACCCATGTAAAATGTAGTCCCCAGCAAAACAAGATACATTGTGTGATTGAGAGCTTGGACTCCCTAGAGAAACACTAATCAACTAAAGCAGTCTTCACTCAATAATCAACCAAAGCTAAACGGTCTCCATTCAGAATATTAAACTGTTTGTCAAGCATCAGAAAGAACAATATAAAAGCTTCATAGAAGCATTCTCCGAGATCACAGATTAACAAGTTAAGATTGGAGCATTTCTCTGTCCAGGGAGTCAAGCATATAAAAGGAAATCTTCGCAGAATGGTTTAACTAGTAAGACCACATGGTAGATCTCTAGCTAGCCATCCTTTGAGCAGCCATATCCATGAGAGAAAAACCTCACATGACCTGCTTTTTGTCCAGTTTTCAGTTGCTCTTATTTCTCACTCACACAGTATGACATTGGCTTTTATTCATGAATGGGATATATCTAACAAAGAGAGGGCAATAAAGTGAAAAGGAAGGAAGAATGATAGAGAAGAAAACTTGCGATTTTTCTCAATGAAGCCACGAGGTTATGCTTTCTGTATAATGGTTTAGTGCTCATGAAATTGCGACTCATTATATAATTTTCAGACTTTTTAAACTATAATCAAATTTTGACATGCGAAATATGAAGAGAACTGAGCAGTGGCTTAAGTTAGTGTGTCAATAAGTTTGGACATTTCTGTAGTGAAAAAGACAAATCAATAAGTTGAACATAAAACAGAATCATCTTTATCTTTTGAGAACAAGTTCAAAACTTTCAGGCTTTGTCGCAATTTTCAATGCTAAAATAGTCAATACAAATCCTTAGAATTGGTTCCCAATTTTACTACTCCTAGCAGCAATTTACCACTGATCAGATTGAAAAGAAGATTACTGCGTTAAAAAGCATTCAATCCATAGCTTGTTTCACATTTGGTAAAGAATTTTACAACTTTCTTACTTTCTTTGGCAAAACGCAATATCTTCCCAGAACGAGCTAAAAAAGAAAAGTAATTTGATTCATCCAGGTTATAGCTGGTGAGATTGTGCTAAATCTTCCAGGAGCCAAAAAATAATCAAGAAATCCCACGTCCTTAACTTAAAGTTGTTTTCAAATTTTTAGTTCCACCTTAGTCACATTCTACTGAATAGACAAGCCAACTAGGTAAATGAAAAAAAATTAATCTGATTCCATAAAATTGCCTAACATAGAATTCTTAAAGCCACATTCTACTGAATAGACAAGCCAACTAGGTAAATGAAAAAAAATTAATCTGATTCCATAAAATTGCAAGAAAAGAATGATCAAGCTCAACAACCAACTACTCAACATAACAGACATACATAAAGGGAGATGATAAACTGACCAGGGCGATTGGAGATGGAAGAATGGGGAGAATCACTGGTGATGCAGTAAAATCGAGCAGCACTACAATTACAGGGGTTGTGTTTTGAGGTCTGATGAGCGAACCTAAGAGAGATCAAAGACGACAACTTTCTCATTTAATTTCGAATCTCTTTTGCTAATTAAAGATGTTGATTTGGAATGGGGAATTGGAGATTGAGTAGAAAGAAGAATAAGAAGAAAGAGGAAGCATTCAAAAGAAAGAAGAAAGATGAAGCGCCAATTCTGACTCTGAAACTAACTGTAAAACAGTGCAGAAAGAGTTGAGGTGACGTGGATATAGCTGGGACCAGCCACTTGTTAGGACATGAGGTTTCTTGTTGGCACTAATTCCTGATGGTTTGGTCGAGAGATTGTGGACATCAGCCAATCTAAATGCTGTCTTTTATCTCCAAAACCAAGCTATTCCGCTACCTTCATACACTGCCACCGCCACCCAAAACAGCCAGCAAGAAAAGAGCAGCAGAGCAGAACTGCTTAGCCCTCTTGGAACTCTGCAACAACTTCCCAAAACTGTCCCAAATCCACACTCACATTCTGAAATTAGGCCTTCAAACGAACCCACTTGTCCTCACCAGGTTGGCCTCCACGTCTTCTGACCTCAATGCCATTGATTATGCTTCCTCCTTCATTTTTGGCCTTGATGCCAAAACCCATCTCTATGATACCTTCCTTTTCAACACTGTCATCAGGGCTTATGCTCAAACAAAGGATTCAAAGCAGAATGCCCTGATTTACTACAAAATTATGCTTAAAGATTGCATTTTTCCTAACAAATTTACGTACCCGTTTGTTCTTAAGGCCTGTGCTGGCATTGGAGAGTTGAGTTTAGGCCAAAGTGTTCATGGGTCTGCGGTGAAATATGGTTTTAGTGATGATATTCATGTTTTGAACACCATGGTTCATATGTATTGTTCTTGTGGCGGAGGAATTGAGTTCGGCCGGAAAGTGTTTGATGAGATGCCTAAATGTGATTCAGTGTCGTGGAGTGCGATGATTGGCGGGTATGCCAAGTTGGGCATGTCAAGTGAGGCAGTGGGGTTGTTTAGGAAAATGCAGATTGCTGGAGTGAGGCCTGATGAGGTTACTATGGTGTCAGTGTTGTCTGCTTGTACTGATTTGGGTGCACTTGAGCTTGGGAAGTGGGTGTCTTCCTATATTGACAAGGAGAAGGTTCCGAAGAGTGTGGAGCTATGCAATGCGTTGATTGACATGTTTGTCAAGTGTGGCGATGTTGACAAGGCTTTGAAGTTGTTTAGGAACATGGCTGAGAAGGACATTGTTTCGTGGACTTCTTTGATTGTTGGTATGGCAATGCATGGCCGTGGTTTGGAGGCCATTTCATTGTTTGAGGACATGAGGAGTTCTGGAATAGTGCCTGACGATGTTGCTTTTATAGGATTGCTCAGTGCTTGTAGCCATTCTGGTTTAGTTGAGAAAGGCAGGCAGTATTTTGATTTGATGTTGAAGGAATTCAGAATTGTGCCCAAGATAGAACATTATGGGTGCATGGTTGATCTGTTAAGCAGGGCCGGACTTGTTAAAGACGCATTGGAGTTTGTTGAGAGTATGCCCATTGAGCCAAATCCAATCATTTTGCGAGCACTAATCACTGCCTGCCGTGCTCATGGTGAGCTCAAACTCAGTGAAAGCATGACTAGGAAGCTCATAAAACAGGAGCCCATGCTCGAGTCCAATTATGTCTTGCTGTCTAATATCTATGCAATATCGTTAAACTGGGAGAAAAAAACAACAATTAGGGAGGTTATGGGGAAAAAGGGAATTAGAAAAACTCCAGGTAGCACCATGTTTGAGCTGGATAATGAGATTTATGAATTTGTTGCCGGAGATAAAACTCATAATGAATACAAAGAAATTTATGAAATGTTGGACGAAATGGGGAAGGAGATGAGAAGGGCTGGATATGTTGCTACCACTTCTGAAGTTCTACTTGATATTGACGAGGAAGACAAGGAAGATGCTTTAAACAGGCACAGTGAGAAGTTGGCTATTGCATTTGCCCTTCTGAAGACACCTCCTGGAACTTCTATTCGCATTGTGAAAAACTTGCGTGTTTGTGAGGATTGTCATACTGCTACTAAGTTTATCTCCAAGATCTACAATAGGGAAATAGTGGTCAGAGACAGAAACCGTTTTCACCACTTCATAGATGGGTTATGCTCATGTAAAGACTTCTGGTGAAACAGTGGAGAGAATTTTGCTTGCCCATATTTTGGCTGTTTACACTTTGTCCAGTGGTGGTACATCACAAGCAAGCAGCTGGCAAATGGCAGCACTACACGTACGTTATATCAAATAGCACTAGAGACTGGTTGAGTATTTCTGGTTTTGGCAGTCTTCATTAGTTTGGGGACCCTAATGGCAGTTTCGGTTCTGAAGTAAGTCAGACCTGGGCTTATGGAATTTGTTCTGTGTGCGCGCTTGTTGCCACTTAACATTTCTGTTTGAAACTAAATGGTACAAATTTAAGAAGTGTTCAGAAATTCCCATAGTCCACATTCTTCAAGTCATCATGGCAGCTACAAAGAGAAGAGGCCTTAAATTCCTGCAAATAGTGAGAGAATGTAAGAAGACTCTCAAGAATATTCAAAATCCCTCACTCAGATAAATTCCGATATTTAGTTTGCATTCTATAGAACTTTTGTGCTTATTAGTCCGTCTACTAGACATTATTCCTATGAAAGAAAGTTCCATGAACTCCATGTTATTCTTCAATGATGAAAAGAAGCCAAAAAAAAAAAAAAAGAAAGGGGTCCACATCCTTGAATCCAAATCCTTGGGAACTTTCATCTTTGACAAAAGTGGAGGAAGTAAAAATGATGATCAAAACTGCTACCTATCTGGGGAAGATGGTCAGATGATGGCCTTCTCAGTAGAAGCTATCACAATGGGAAGATACATGGGAAACTTGAAATTCCTGCTGCCTCTTTTGCTATCAATTTTGTAATAGCAATATTGATTGGTCGGCACTTTATGGCCCTCTGCTAGTTCCTTTTATGGGAAAAAAGTAGGAAGGAAAACCAGGTAATGCTTCTAATCCTGATACTCTCCAGGCTATTCCAAAGCAAGGGCAAGACAGTTCAGATAATACAGTCTGTGACGAAATCATATGGCTGTGCCGTCAGGGCGGGCAGTGCTGCTGTTTGGCAGTCCCGCTTTGATCCTGACTTGTTAGTCATCCGCGAGTACTCGAGACTCTTATTACCAATCATCATTAGCTTAAACGCAGATGATTCTTTGATCCTTGTGACGATTAATCATGTAAAATGCATCATGCCTAGATGAGCTATTCATTGTCAACCACTGAGTAAACTAGTACGAAAGACTGCTTGATTTTCTCTAACATGGTTAACCAGTCTGCAGAGGATAGATTTACTTCTCTGACTAATTAAGCATGGCTGCATGTTGGAGCAACACTAGCTGAGGTGAAACGCCTCTCATAGGCAAGAGCACCACGATAAACAACTTCCCTTCTGCGCTTAAGTGTGTTTATCTTGATCCCACACGTCCTCTCCTCTCCATTGGTTCTGGACAAGCATTTATTTATGTACGGATGAAAGCTACATTTCTCCATAACGCATAAATGGACTCAAGACACAAAAGCCGGCAACTTTTGAAGAACTTAACTACGCGATGTGGGAACTTAACCCCACAGGGTGCTGCTAAGAGATTCTTTGCCCTTTCTCGCGATAAATGTGCGAGTTCATCTGGCACTTAACTATGTCGGGTACTGTCTGGTTAACTGGTCTAGCAGTCAGTTCATCGTCACGATCGACCACGATTCGACTCTCTCAGAATTAATGCGCTGGGCATCCTAAGGGGCAGGCTCTGCTCAGCCGCAGGGGATTAATCTGAGTGATTCCAAGATATTCCTGTGTCCAAAAAAAAAAAAAAAACGATGACTGGCCTATTCTGGGATTCTTGTTAGTGGCTTGCTGGTATTATTAGTCCACGAAGTCACAATTATGGTGGAAAAGGGCGGTTTGGTGGAAAGAAGCAACAATGGTAGAGTTAATGGTTGTACGGACTGTTAGCCATATTTACCTTAAATAAAATTTTCCAAGTGTGTAGTTTGTGTTGCATCACACATGCACAAGTGTTTGAAATGCACGTTATTTGTATCATCAACACATTTTTCAATTAGCTTTTTATCTAACATATATCACATCACAAAAAGTACTATAGTATTTTTTTCACAAAATTATCTCAAATAATTTACTGTCCAAATACAAGAAGAAGAAGAAGAAGATGGAATTTAAGGAATGGCCCATATACTTTTATATCTTGGTTGATGAGATTGGTATAGCCACAATTTTAATGTTAGAATAAGTTTTTCCTCCATGCCAATATTACTCTCCTAGGTCAATTTGGACCAGGATGGCTATCTAAAAAGATAGTTTTGACAATAGCACAAAAAATTTTGTGACATTAATTCATCTCTTTTTCTTTTGGTAGATAGGAACAGGTCCAACATTTCCTCCTCCTTGCTTAGCAGGCAGGGAAGATGAACAGTGCAAGTAGAGATGATCCCTTGGATCCTAGGGCCAAGCCTTTGAGCCTTTAGGATTTGTCCCAAATCCCCAGTGGCAACTTATGGGAATTAGGAAGGTCTAAGATTCAAGAATTAAGTCTGGCTCGAGAGGGTAGCAGTAAAATAGAGTTCTATTAATTCCAGGGCTTGCAGGTATTTAATTCATCCTCCACTTGTAGAAATATTTACCCAAAAGGGGTGGAGAATTAATTAAATCTAAGGACCAAAAGGACAACTTCAGAGCTCCACTTTCACCTTTAAAGCATCAGAGGAAAATCTACCAACCTACTTCTCCTAGCATCACACATCATTACATCTCTCCTAAATTTGTCCCAATAAATAGCTGTATGTATTACCGCATTGCAGCAGGTGAGGACAAGCACCACATTTTAAGTATTGCCCACTAGAATTAAATAGCTACATTTTGGCAATCAAACACAGGGGCCCAAAGATAAAGGGGGCATTTCCGTCCGCTTGCATGATATGACACCCAGTTCCAGTCACAAGGCCCTATTTAGCCATCATGGCACACAGAGAGCTTAAACTATCAATGGATGTTGGTGCCGGTGGAACTGTGGAAGGAACTTGCATCTTTTAATCACGAGGTATTGGATTTAAAATTCATGAAAATGAAAAGAATAACGTTGAAAGAGATTCTTTTCGTAAACGGTCCGATTAGCTCGAACAAAATTAAGATATAGATACCTGTGATTCATAATATATATATATGTACTCTAATTCAAGAAAAAGTGTCAGTGATTTGATTAAAGATAACAAGGCTAGCCTAGTAATGATGAATAATTCACTTCTTCCATCACCACCCTTCAAACACCCCCCCCTCCCCTTCCCCCCAACCCAAGAAACATGCAGCTTAATGGAATTGACTTCATAACCATGAGGACATAAAATTCTACCAATAAAATCAAAATTGTTTGGCAAAAGTTGGCACCATAATAACCATCCCAATTTAGATTAGTGGAACATGGCAGCCCTAACGGCCCTAATGACCACTTACACATTGCATTCAAACCACCTTAAAAGTACAATAATGACAGAATTTTTTATTAAAAAAAATATACTATAGCAATTTGATATATATGAAATAAAAAGGTAATTAAAAAATGTGTTTATGAAAAATATAAAAATATATTTATGGAACTACAATCCAAACAATTTAGACACCCCACCATAAAAATTTTTCCATGAAAACTACAACCCAAACAAGTTAGGCACCCTCCATTTACAATTCATAGCTTTGGTACATTAATGACTTAATTCATCAATATCAACATATTAACATTTGTACGGGATATGAGTTTAGCATAGAGGAGCTCCCTGCCCATGGGTGAAAGTTCTCCGAATTAAGTGTGTTTGGATTGTACATTATTTGAAATAATTTTGTGAAAAGTACTGTAGCATTTTTTTTTTTTGATACTCCCTCTGTCGCAATTTGATAGTTCTGTTTTCCTTTTTCGTCTGTCCCAAATTGTAATTCACTTTCCAATTGAAGAATGTAGTTGTATTTTAATTTTCTAAAATACTCTTATTCAATGTAAGTTGTTATTACTATAAACCTACCCCATTTAATGAGAGTTGATTTTTTTTTTTACCATCAATTCAAGTTCCCATAAAATTGTACTTTAATTAATGTGAGGGTATTTTAGAAAAATAGCTATCTAAATTGATTGTTCCAACAAAATTAACTACTTTTCTTAAACTGTGTGAAAAAAAATCAGCACTATCAAAATGGGACCGAGGGAGTATAATGTATGTGAGGTAAAAAGGTGATTGGAAAATGTGTTGATGATGCAAACAAATCAATGTGTGTAAATAAAATGTAATTTTTTACGATCCAAACACATAGGATTTTGAAAAAAAAATAATTTGTCTCACAAATCCCAATCATCTTTTTATCTTTTCAATCGCCTTTTTATCTCACATACATCACATCACAAAAAGTGATACAGTAATTATCTCAAATAAACTCTTATCCAAACAAACTCTGATCCCCATCCATTAGCACCCGGGAGGAAGAAGTCCACAAAGGATTCAATTGAGATGCAAGGAGGGAGAAGGGCTTGAAGATTTCCGTAAGCTCCTAGAGTCATCATCATTTCTTTAAAGTATGACGGCCTATTTTAGGCTTACTCTTTACAGCTAAAGATGGCACCGAGTGCGGGAATGGAATAATTTCTTAGTGCACTGGATTGCATGTCTTGGCCTCAGAGTTCCCTCTTCAATACAGAATTACAGATGCAGCACCGCATTTTTGGGTGTTCAACCCCCTAAAAGTATGGCAATGAAGCGCAACATGGTCAATCTAGTCAGTAAAATGTTTCACCTGTATCCGATAAAATGTTTCACCTGTATCTGATAGGTCACAATAGTAAGAGCTAAATGCCGGAGAAATAATGAAAATCTTCAAGATTTTTTTCAGTAACAACTAAGCAATGACTTGATGCAGATATTACTAAAATTAGATCAGTATGGCAATCACCATCCCTCACTCAGCAACACATGTTTTGTCTGATATTCATTCTACCACTGATTTCTTGTGATCCCATAAATTAGCTGCATTTCTTCACATGCCCGGCCTCCTCCCTTCCCCTAAAACTCGTTAACTTTTATATCTTTGATCACATTCAAAGTACTGGAATACCAAATTCAATCAAGAGTTCCAATAATACTACTCTCTGCATCAAGTTACCTTGATAACAATTTTCTTGGTGCTTTGGAACAAATACCACCACCATTAGCTCCGAGTTAGATTAAGGTTCCAAGAAAAGCAACTACTGCAGAAGCCAAGCTTTATCTTCGAAATTAACCCCACGTTATGCAGGGTTGAGAGGCAAAAATATTCTGCCAAATTGCGAATTTACCATGGAATGCATTTTTTCACTTGCAAATTTTCTTCTCCAGCCTTTTGGCATCTAAAAATAGTAGTAATCAAGTTTCAACTACAATATTGCCAGTGATATTGATACTACTACTTTAATGCTTGATAGTGATTGCAATGGCATCCTATTTGGACCTTCAGAAAGAAGCTTGTGTGTAATCATTATTAATTCCTCCTTCCAGTTTTCTTTCTTCTCCTGCTAAACCTATTCCTGTTGCATCTTAGATGAAAATTTCTCTTGATCCCATCATGTTGCCAGTTTGACACAATGAACTTTTAACAAATAGAGAGTTTCGTCAAGCATCACAATACAAGACATCACACCATTCTAAAGAACAATCCTACCACTAAAAACGTTTACCCCAATAACGCAACTACTATATACTGCAAATTTCAACAAAGTCCCATCCATGCAACAAAAACACCAGGTCCATGTCCCAAAATGTGCCTAAGTCAGTAATGATTATTATGGCTTCCAATTCCAAAACTTGAGTTTTCAAATCCTTTTGGCGCAATGGTTCCCATATTTATAGCTCCGCTTCCTGATGATTGCGATGAGATCCACAAATTCAAACAAACATTCGCTTCATCAGACAAGCAAACATAAACAACAGTGTCAAATCATAATGACCAGATCTGCATTAGTTATACCATAGCATCCTGATTTTCATATACACTAATAAGTTTAGACCTACATGCAGAACAGAGGAGGAAAAAAATGAAATTACGTATCAGCATAAAGAAGATAAATTGAGGTTTTATGGAGTCTTACTCCACTAGGATACATTAACTGGCCGTATAACTGAGAAATGACGAATCTCAAATCCCATTTCCGAAAGAAACAAACACTAAATAAAGCACAATTAACAACTAACAAATCATCCTATCAAAGTTTGCTACTAAGTCCAGACCCATC